TATTATATCTATAAGTATCACGCCATATAGATAAACCCGATCCCGATCTGACCCCTACATTCTATCGTAATTAGCCCATTCACGTCACTTAACATGCCCCGAACCAAGTACAAGGGCTGTTCCGAAACTACTCGACAATTAGGAACCACTTTACTTGATAATGCAAGTGTTTATCTAATTGGCGGAACACAGCAAGATTTGTATACCTTAAATTATAATGCTACTGTCAATTTATTTTTATATATCAAGTTAATAAAAGTTGGACAACTATTGGGAATAACATTAGTACTATTCTGCCGAGACGTAAATCAACCTCAACAATAATGAAATCTCGATATATATTTATCTTTGGGGGGAATGGCTGACCTTGATACTGGATCCAACACGACTATCCTTTATAACGATTTACATATATTTGATACAGTTTTACAATTATTGACTATAGTTGATGTACCCGATCCTCCTTTACCACGAAGTTATAGCACTGCAACATTGCTTCCAGATGGAAGAATTGTTTATATTGGAGGTTTCACCCAGTCTGCTTCTGGAAATAATATATCCTTACATGATATGAGAAATGTGAGTTATTAATTTTTGTAATTTGCGAGTAAGCAACATATTTATAGTAAAAAAAAAAAAATTCATATCATAGATCTCTGTATTCAACACCGTTAACTATGTATGGTCACTTCAAGTAAGTGTTAAAACAGTTCGAACATTATATAGTTATTGAATGCGTAGCACCAATAACTTTCGTATCTGGCAGTAAAATTTAATATTCCAGCTTCTGGGTCCCTTCATGACCCAGAGCTGGTATATTAAAAATACAGCCAGATACTCGGATTATTTTTCTGGGAAATGATTATCATGTGATCCTACGGATCACATGAAATCATTTATCCAGAAAAATAATTCTCGCTTCGCATCAATAACTATACATTATTTGCAAAATAGTTCATTATCTGATTATGAAATTTAATATGTCAGTTTCTTAGCCCTAGAAATGATGTATTAAATTCTCTGCCAGATAATAATAAATATGATTATAATTTCTGAGAATTTATGAATTATCAGACAGCAGATTTGGCAAATTTAACAACTGTTTCGGGACGAGTGGGTCATACTCAATATTAGCACCCGACAATGGATCTATTATTATAATGGGCGGTGTTTTAAGTATAAATTCGCCAATTATTCTCTTATTATAAAATTATTTTACTATTTGCAATATAATACCATTAATTACCGTTTGTTTTTAGACGACCAATCAATTCAAGACACTACTTATCCAGATTATTTAAAGCTAAATGTTACACGCAATCCTTTCCAATTTTCTTTGCTAAATACACATGGAGATAAACCACCACAACTATCATTTCATATCGCTACGTTATATAACAATTATATGGTTGTCGCTTTTGGCAAAATAGGAAGTATTAATAACAACCTAACAGTAGGGAACGCAAGCCCAGGAATATATATATTGGATTTACCAAGCTCAACTTGGATGAACATTTTTATTCCTGTTTCTTATAAATCAGCACAATCAGCGCCCTCGGCAAAGAATTACAATGTAATTATTATAATCACTACGTCGATAGTGATGACTATAATATTTTGTACAGTAATAGGATGTATTTATGTACATAGAAATTATAAGTATGCGAATACTCGCAGTGTTAATGCGGAATTTTATGAACCTCCAAGTTAGCAAGTTTCTTACCAGGAACGGAGTGCAACGAAGTGCATGGTTAAGTAGAGAGTGAAAGGGTGTATCCAAATCCAAGTATCTGATTGGATGACAAAATCATGTGATATATTTATATGGTTTTTGTTGTACGAATTAGGCAATCAAATATTATCGTTATAATTAGAGATGGGAAAAATGCGCATTTTATAATAACATGCGCATGAATGCGCATGAATGCGCATTAATGCGCACGTTATATAAAATGCGCATGATATCGCATGATATAATTTTTTGATTTTATATTTT